GAGGTGAACCATAAGAGACTCTTAAATACAGAGAACGTACTGAGGGTGGATGGGGAGGTGGGGGAGAGGGGAAAGTGGGTGATGGGCGTTGAGGAGGGCACCTGTTGGCGTGAGCACTGGGTGTTGCATGGAAGCCACTTGGCAATAAATTATATTAAATAAAGAAATAAAGAAATGTGCCCAGCAGGCGGCTCGTGACAGGATAGAGAAGACAGAGGCTGACAGGTGTCCTGTGTGGACAATCACATCGTTTCACTCGCACTGTGCCTTCTGCTGCCCCAAAGGTGTGATCGAAGGAGAAATAAAGGCTAATGTAAAGGAGATAGGAGCAAAAATCTATGCCGAATGTTCATTTTGGTGGCTCGCCCTGAGGAGTATAGATTGGCAATGCTCAGTAGCTTGGAAGAAGAAAATCTAGATCAAATTTGGGAGCAGCTGTCTTGCTCCCTGTCTACGTGGCTATGATCTTGGGCACGTTCTTTGATTTTTCTGAGTTTGGGGACTGCCATCAGCTAAATAGGAATAGTTCAAATGTGCTTCCCTAACTTATACAGTGGCTATGATTACCAAATGAATTAATAAATATCTTATGTTTAGTAAATACCTTGTATGATAAATATGAGTTAGAATGAAGAGCCATTATGGGAGAGACACATGTAAAAATCATTTTAGAAAGATGAATTTTGTGACTGAATGAAGTTCTTATTTTTCTCAGAATAGTGAGCATATGTGAGGAGTAATTTTACCTAATTCATAATCGATATTATAAAAATCATCTGAACAACCACTAAGACCAAGTCTTATTGGAATGGATTTAATTTCCTCTGAGGTGACTTTCTGAACTTGCCCAAAGTTTGTACTTGGTCGGAAACTTTATCTTGGTTGCTTCTGAGGTTGTCTCACTTGCTGGTCCCTCTGGCTCTTCTGTCCCGGGCATGTTGGTGGCAGACGTTAATTATGCTGAGTCTCAGAGGCTTACATGGAATCACAGCATGCAGACTCAGGGGAAAGCGCTGCGGGAGGCTGCGGGGCCTGGGGATGGCCATAACTGGGAGCCGGTGCCTTGACCCTTCAGTAGGTGAGGGGAGCGGGGTTGACGCTGCACAGAGCCCAAAGGAAATCCAGACAGCAGACCAGGGTCTGGGAGTCACGTCTGAGCCTGAGGTCAGTCTTCCCCAACAGCCCCTCTCTGTCCCAAGCAAACAACCTGATAGATTTTACAGCCCAGCACCAGGTCAACAACGCAACGGTTTGGGGAGGGAAGGAGAGTCAAAATCAGAGGGAACCTTGCTTTGCTGCTCCATACAGTTGGGGAAGGAAGCATTCAGGAATAGAACTGTAGAGTAAAAAAAAAAATAATTAAAAAATATTGATTTCACGGCCACTGACATTTTTTTTGCGAAAACAATGGAATTAAGAAAAGTGTATTGGGGTGCCTGGGTGGCTCAGTCGCTTGAGCCTCTGACTTCGGCTCAGGTCATGATCTCGCAGTTCATGAGTTCGAGCCCCGTGTCGGGCTCTGTGCTGACAGCTCAGAGCCTGGAGCCTGTTTCCGATTCCGTGTCTCTCTCTCTCTCTGCCCTCCCCCACTCCTTCTCTCTCTCTCTCTCTCTCTCTCTCTCTCTCTCTCTCTCTCTCAAAAATGAATAAACATTAAAAAAAAGAAGAAAGAAAAGTGTACTGATGTAGGATTCAAATCACATATTATTCAAATCTTTGCTTCTAAATTTACCAGATTTATGTGCTTGAGCAAGTCCTGTAGCCTCTTGGTGCCTGAGTTTTCTCTGTTCTATCATTTAAAAAAGTATTCTTACTTTAGGGGATTATTATGAGAACAAATGAAACATACATGTGAGGAGGGCTTATTATATGCACAAAATCGATTATATATACATACACAAAACTTATATACATTTATATATTATGGAAAGTTAGATACGAACATTCTGGTATTTGCAGATCCTTGTTATACATTATTCTGTTATAAGGAAAGCTGTGGAGAAATGCAATTGTTTCCTATTAGTGTTGTTTACCTTTGGGACCTTGTATTTTCATTTAAATATCCTAAGATGTGCCTTTTCCCCACTCCTCTAGACTGAAACTGTGATTTACATTACAAAGTTTGTAGATAATAAGGTACTGACTTCGTGTGGGAACCAACTGAGATCTGAAAGGCCCACCATTCAAACAAATCCAAGACTGTTTAGAACAAGGGAATCCAGTACATGGCATCCAGGCATGGCATCAGGCCGTAGGGACGATTCGTAGACATCACATTAAGAAGAAATATCTGAAGTGAATCACAGGAGAAATGAACACCAAAATATGGCAATAAAACACTTAGAATGTTTATATTACGAGTAATGTGGGCATATTTCACTCTGCCCTGGCTTCTTGGTCAGGGAGTAGAGAAGCAGCTGGTGTATCTAGTTCTGTGGTGATGAAATATCAGCAAGACCCACTGAGGCCATGAGTGAAAGGAAATCATAACGTCAAGATGCTGGAGTGATCTAACCCACCACAACCCCAGAGGGAAGCATTTCAGAGCTTCAGGCTTTAACTGAATTCCAATTAATTAAAAGGTGGGAAATACCCATCGTCTAAACTTGCTTCTAGAAGTCACACCCCTACTCTTAGAGAGTATGTATTAAGTCCAGTCGGAAAAGGGGCCAGGTACTAAAACAGGGATATAAGTATATATATACACACACATATATAGGTATATGCACATAAAATAAAATGTATTGTGTGTCACAGGAGAATTACAAATACACTGTTCTGGAGGGTCAGTAAAGAGGGTGGGGCATACTTAGGAACCTTTTTAACCTGAAATGATGCTCACAGGACAGAAAGCAGTGGGTGTTCCCACAAAGTGGGAAGGAGAAGTGGGCTGGATTGTGGGTACGTCCGGATGGCTGGAGCCCTCGAGTCTAAGGCTGTGTTGTGATATAGTGTGTGGAGATTCACTGAAGAATTCTGAGCTGTGCATGGTCAGGTCTGAACTAAGGAAAGACTTTTCCAAACGTGCTGGGTCTCTATGAAGATGAGAACTTGTAAGTGGGGAGAACAGCTGGACAGCTAGAGACTATGGAGCATGGGACTATATTCTGTGTCTGCTGTGAGATGTTTGAGTAGATACAGATTTCATGGATCGATGTGACAGACAGTGTGAAAGAAGAACTGGTCCCACTTGACAGCCTGGGACACAGGCAATTGCAATTCACAGATAAGGGTTCTGCTCTGGGCACTGAAAGAATTGTGGTTCTGTCCATAAAAAACAGACGCTGTGAGTGCGAGAAGGAGTCAGGTCTGGATTTAGTGATTCTGAGGTCTGGGCTTGAAGCAGACACGTTTCCCTGCCTTCTGTTGCCTTCTGTTATTCCCCTCTGTCTGATTTCATAACCCAGTGACAGCAGCATAGGACACAGCCACGCAGGCACACGGATCCCACCAGTGGGGGGCAAGAGGAGAAGGAGGAGCAGAGGGGTTCCAGAGTTGTCCTCCTGACCCATCACCCATTGATTGCAAATATCACATGCTCTGTGTACAGAAGTTGAGAAAATTCCAGTACGTTAGGGAATTCATGAGTAGGGAAAGAAATAATAACTATTAAAAGCTACTGAATTATCAACATATGAAAAGAATTGAGTTACATGTGCCGTTTACACTGTATCACTCTGTCCTATGAGAAAATTAGGGTCATTCTAAAGCTGAGAAATTGAACCACAAAAAAAGATGATGTGACATCTCCAAAGTCACACTCCTGCAAAATGGAATGGTCAGGTTTGAAGCAAGAAGGAAAATGCCTTTTATAAAATAACTAGAGAGAAATACAACACGAATTTGCCATAAATGGGAGCAAAACTGAAAGGAATTTAGGATTTTAGGGAACGGAAAAAGTACTCCTTGGATTTTTTTTTAATTCTGCTATAGTTAACATGCAGTGTAATATAGTTTCAGGTCTACAACAGAGTGACTCAACATTTACATACAACATCCAGTGCTCCTCACAAGTGCCCCCTCCTTATAATGCCCATCATCCATCTAGCCCATCCCCCACCCGCCTCCCTCCATCAACCCTCACTTTGTTCTTTGTAAGTTAAGAGTCTGTTTCCTAGTTTGTCTTCTTTTTCCTTTTGCTCATTTGTTTTGTGTCTTAAATTCCATATATGAGTGAAATCATATGGTATTTGTCTTTCTCTGAGTGACTTATTTTGCTTACATTCTACTCTCTAGCTCCATGCACATCATCCAATTGTTGCATAATAAAGAGCTGTGTGATCTGGATGGGAAGGTGCAGGTGCACCAGGAGGCAGGAATGTGTGACAGTGAGTGAGAGAGGAGAATAAAGTTGGGGGGGGGGGCTAAATTTAAATGGCTATCCTGAAGGGTTAGAAATTCATATTTAGCCCTGAAACTCAGGGAGCCAAACATCTGAACCTCTTTCTGGATGCCTCCCTCCCTCAGAGGTAAAACTTGCCTCACATTTATCCAGATATTTTTCAAGTAACATTTTTTCAGCAAGTGAGGTTTTGAGGATTGTTTTGTGTGTATATCATCCTGTTTGAACTTTTTGTTTCTTCCCTCTATTTAAAAATTTTCTGAATAGGATGAGAATTAGGCTGGGAAGGGGTGAGCGGCGTCCTAAAAGTGCAAACTCCCATAACGTAAAATCTGTGCAGGGCAGTTCCCAGGAAGATTGTGACCGGGTCAGTCTAAGGAAGGTCATCACCTGCTGACCCTCAAGCTGACCTCTGTTTCACTTGTATTTGGGAAGCTCCACCTCCTCCCCACTCTGCTTTAATCTGTACTCCATTGTTGTCGTTAAATATTCATAACGTGTACAGGTGATGGAAGTTCTATGAAACTTTTTGGAAGATACAAAATCCCGAAAGGGGTGAGTAGCTAACCAGACAGCACCCACAAGGGAAGCCACACTTCCTATTTTGCTGGTGCTCTCCTTATTCCTCTCTCAAGGATCTTTCAGTGGTACATTGGCAATGTTGACTCAACGTGTCACCATAATCAAGGTGCAGGTGCAGATCACAGCAGAAATGGGAAGCCCAGCTCACCACCTCTTGTCCCTACTTCTCAGCAGCTCCCTCTTACCACTGACACCCGTGCCTGGCAGTGGGCACTTAGAGGTTCCAGCTAGCACTTCACCTGTCCATGACAACATGTGGATCAACAATCAGAGCTCTCGAGATGACTTCATCTTACTGGGATTCTCCGACCGCCCCTGGCTGGAGACACCACTCTTTGTAATCTTTCTGGTGGCCTATATCTTTGCCCTATTTGGGAATGTGTCCATTATCCTTGTTTCCCGCCTAGACCCCCAGCTTGACAGTCCCATGTACTTTTTTGTCTCTAATCTGTCCCTACTGGACCTCTGCTACACTACCAGCACCGTGCCACAGATGTTAGTCAACCTTAGGGGACCAGAAAAGACCATTAGCTATGGTGGCTGTGTGGCCCAACTCTACATTTTCTTGGCCTTGGGTTCTACTGAATGCATACTTCTAGCCATCATGGCCTTGGATCGCTATACTGCTGTTTGCAAGCCCCTGCACTACCCAATCATCATGAGTCACAGACGCTGCATCCACATGGCCACTGGGACCTGGATCAGTGGCTTTGCCAACTCCCTTGTGCAGTCCACCCTCACCGTGGTGGTCCCACGGTGTGGACACAGGGTGGTGGACCATTTCTTCTGTGAAGTTCCTGCTCTTTTGAAACTAGCATGTGCTGATACTCATGTGAATGAGGCTGAGCTCAACGTGCTGGGGGTGCTGCTGCTTCTGGTGCCCCTCACCCTCATCCTGGGCACCTATGTGCTCATTGCTCGGGCAGTAATGAGGATCCGCTCTGCTGAAAGTCGCTGGAAGGCCTTCAATACCTGTGCTTCACACCTGCTGGTCGTGTCCCTCTTCTACTTCACAGCCATCAGTATGTACGTCCAGCCTCCCTCTAGCTACTCTCATGATAGGGGGAAGATCATGGCTCTCTTCTATGGGATTGTCACTCCCACACTCAATCCATTTATCTACACACTGAGGAACAAGGATGTGAAAGCTGCCCTGGGAAGGGCACTGACCAAGGAGTTCTGGGTCAAGACAGGATGATCTCTGGAAAGGAGACCCACAAAGCAAGGAGGGATGTGTCAGCCTTTCAGGGAAGATTCTGGGCATGAAGTTATGAGACAATGCTGCATCATGTGTCATGAAGTTCACAGACGGAGCAGGACCAGAAAGGAGCAACAAGTCTGGGTGACCTCAGAGCTGTTTTCCACTTATGAGAACACCTGTCTTACAATACGAATCCCATAAGGTCATGCCACCTTCCTCCCCAACCTTGGCTACTAGTTAACCCTAACTGCTGGCTAACTTAGTTTCAGAGGGGAAATTGGTTCAATAACTAGGCAAAAATATATTTAGAAAATATATTTGGCCTGCATTATTTCTAAATGAATCCCCAAAAAATTAGAAATAATCACGTATTTAAAAAAACAACAACCATGCCACTGCCATCTTGAGTCGACTTTAATCAACACATATTGACACCATGCAGTCATCCTCTGGCATTTGGTGACCAACTGTGTCACCCATGAGGGCCTTGGACCCAAAAGCAAGTGAACACAAGAGGCACTGAGGTCAAAAGCATCTAAAATAGAAATATGCAAAGGGAAAAATCCATGAAAAAATTTAGAGTCAGTGATTTTAAGTACACACTATTTTGACCTGAAACCCAAGTCAGTTTTTGTTATGATAAACAACAATGAGGTCATGGTCAATGAAACAGAAGTTACTCGGGGCCAAGAGACAAAACAAAGCACAGTGAACAGTGGGAAATATTCTAAGTCAAGAAACTGTACTAGTGACTAGAGAGTTTGACAAAGTAGCTTCTTTCACCATGTGAACGTGTCCTGCTTCAGTGTGGGAGTTAGGGGAATATGATGTTGAATGCAAAGCCTTAGTTCATCTATCAGACTTATTTTTTAAAAAATGTTTTATAACTCCTGGCTATAAATTGTTTCACACATACATTTTAGTCAAAATAGAGTGAATTCAGCAAAAACTCAATGCTATTGCCTGAAGTGAAAATCAAATCTCACATTTCATGAATGGGTATATATACCCCCTCAACGGAGGCATGTGTGCCTTTAGGGGACAAAATTCATCATCTTTGACTACAGTTCCTTTGCCACTAAAAAGGGGTGCTAACATTTGCCCTAATTCAAAGGTGTGTGAAATTATGTTCTTCACAGGACATTGACTTTAATATTTAATATTGTAACTCTGTTTCCTATAAACTAAATCTAGATAATTTTTTTAAAGTTTATTATTTTTGAGAGAGAAAGACAGAGCATGAGCAGGGGAGGGACAGAGAGACAGGGAGACACAGAATCCGAAGCAGGCTCCAGGCTCTGAGCTGTCAGCACAGAGCCTGACACAGGGTTCAAACTCATGGACCGCAAGATCATGACCTGAGACAAAGTTAGACGCTTAACTGACCGAACCACCCAGGTGCCCCAAGCAAATCTAGATAATAAAAATTTAATTCTAAATTCATAGAGCTCTAATGCATTTTCAATTTGAAGATTTATAAAATCATGGACTAAGCACTTATTCTGACTTATCAATACAATTTCTATGTCATTGTCTCCCTTTTAATACACATTATTGAGGTTTCTGTATAAAATTATCCTTTCCAAAGTCTACCCATCCATAAATACATTTAATAATTTTTACTTATTTCATTTCAGTTCTTTGTAGTTATTTTACACTAATGGATCAGAGTCCCTTAATAATATACACTCAAAGGTCTTAATCAACATGAATAATTTTCTGAGAATCCTTCAGTGTATTTTACAAGGTTCTTTAATTTGGGGAAATAAATACACTGACTGACTGAATTCTAGAATCTGGATTAAACTGGTATATGGCTGGGAACATTAAGGGTGTATCAGCTTCAATATCTTGTCATAGATTCTGAAAATTTGGAATTGCAAATGTTAATGATAACACAAAACATGCATAAAATCTCTCCCCGGAGATAAAATACTCTAGTAAATGGAGATTACCACATGCCATGGAGTGCTTCCTAGGACACTCCTCCCTCTCCCCCTCCCACATATCAGCATCAATCCTGCCATGGGGTATTTCCTTGGACCCTCCTCCTTCCCCTCCCCACATATCACCATCAATTCTGCCATGGGTATTTCCTAGGACCCTCCCCCTCCCCACATATCAGCATCAATCCTGGACATTTCTAGCTCAGCATATTAAACTTCATTAAAAAAAAAAAAACTGACAACCCTAAGGGCTGTGTCCTGCAGTGGCTTCTGTTTGAACACTTTATTGTGTTCACTGCCTGTCAGGAGACCTCCTTCCCAAACCCCCCTGTAATATTCATGTTTTAATGCCTTACATATCTGCAGATTTCTTTACAATGCTTTTGCATGATAAACATTTAGTAAATACACTAACGTAATTAGGTCAAGGTATGGCTCTTTTTTCCCTCCCCGATGCCCACTGCACTAACCCCCTTCCTGAAGGGACGGTGTGAGGCTCTGCTCCTGTTAATGATGTACCATGAACACATCACTGTCCGTGGCCCAGCTGTAAGTCAGATGAAGGTGGAACAGGGAGGAAAAAGATTTTGCAAAATAAAGGCTCCTGGTTATACAAGGGAAAGACAGTCTGTCACCTCAATGTTTCTCCTTGGCTTCTTTAAACCACTAAAAAACTTTTTGGTTGCAGTGTTTCTCGAATTCATGAGTCATTTTAACATGGAACCTCAAATCAGTACTCTCTAAAATATAAAATGTAGCCTAGTATGTATTAAGAAGAAATGTTTATGGGTTTAATTTATTAATTCTAGTAAAGCGGTATATCTCTCAAAGGGTATTTGAAGTCACTAGGCAAAAATGCTACATCTTCTTGGGTTTGTTAGTTTTGTTTAAAGGTCTAGATAGACTTAAAAATAACTGAACATTAAAACAACTATTTTGTATTGAAGTGATCAGGGATATATTATTGTGTGGAAGTTGCATACATTTTTAAACAAAAACATGGGTTTTCAAAAATATTTACTGCTGATGTGAGAAGCTGTCCCCAAACCCTAGGGATATATTTTGATTTATCTTCAGTATTATAGATATAGTAGAGCAAAACCCTGAGATTTAAGCAAAAAAAAGAACTCAATAGCTACTTGCCATTTGCAACTAAGTGGATGGAAATAGAGAGTATTATGCTAAGGGAAATTAGTCAGAGAAAGACAAATATCATATGACTTCACTCATATGAGGACTTTAAGATACAAAACAGATGAACATAAGGGAAGGGAAGCAAAAATAATATAAAAACAAGGAGGGGGGCAAAACATAATAAAGGACTCTTAAATAAAGAGAACAAACAGAGGGTTACTGGAGGGATGGGGGGAGATGGGCTAAATGGATAAGGGGGCTTAGGAAATCTACTCCTGAAATCACTGTTGCACCATATGCTAACTTGGATGTATTTAAAATATATATATTTAAAAAAAGAACTGAATATTTAATTTTACAAATGTAATTAATACTTCTTCATGAATTCTGCCTGGTATTTTACAAGTTTATATATTTAAATACATCACTAAGTGAATTATCGTATGTGTATTGCCAAGCAGGCAAATCAATTTGGTGCAGGGTTAAAAACAAGATTAAAAAAGAAATTTTTTTAACATTCATGAAAGTATTACTGAAACATTAGTGAATTGGTTAAATATTATATTGTAAATTTTTGCAAATATCAGTAAGTCATTAAATAGAAAAATGCTTTGTGATATAGAAAGAACAGCAGGCGAGCACATTCAATAGGTAAAAATATTTACGACAAAACAAAGTCATATTATTGTTTTGACGGAAGGAGAACTAGACACTTCCCCAAAGAGTCAGGAACAAATCAAGGTTTCCCTCTGATCACAATTTTTATTACTGTTTTGGATTAACCACCTGCTATAGACTGAATGTTTGTGTCCTTCCAAAATTCATACGTGGAACTTACTCTCCATGTGTTAGTATTTGTATGTGAGCTTTCGGGAGCTGATTGGGTGGAGAGGGGGAGACTGTGGATAGGCTCAGAGCCCCCTGGTCCCTCGTCCCATGAGCAAAGAGCACAGTGAACACGGCTGTCTGTGAACCAGGAGGCCCACACCACACAAGGGTCTCCTGGCTGCTTGACGTTGGAACTGCCAGACTCCAGAACTGTGATAAATAGATTTCTGTTCTGGATAAGCCACAGCCTATCGTATTTTGTTATAGCAGCCAAACAGAATAAGAATAAAAGAACACCCATTGCCTTAAAAGAATTAGATTATTAAAAATGCGTAAACATTATAAAACAAGGAAGGCAGTGGCATTTTAATTAACTGTTCCAATAGTGAGGTTTCACTTATGTTGCAAATGTTTATTCCTTTACTCAGTGAATAGTTGTCACATGTATGTAAGCCACTGAACTGGAAGAGGCAATCTGAAGTGAGTAAGACATTGGCCCGTTCTCAAAGAGTACAAATCTAGAAGAAAACAGAGATGTGAATAAATAAGGACACAAAGCTGAGAGTCTAGAAAGACTCTAAAAGGTAAAGGTTGTAAAGGGTGAGAGACGATGTTGTGAAACAGAGACAATCATCTCTGGATCCTGCAGAGGGCCAGTGTCCAGCTGAGTGTCCAGCAGCACTGTCGGCACGAGCCCGCAGGAAACTGTCCAGGCTGAGGGAGCGGAGGACACGGTCCCCGAGCTTACACAAGGGCTAGGGACGCTGTGACTTCCCAGCAGCCAGACCTAAACGTAAGGATCATGGACACTGGGGTCGGCGCCCCAAAGCCCCAGCCGGGGCAGTAATCACCCTCAGCCACTCGCAACGGCCCTGGTCTCACCTAACAAATCCTCAAAAGAGCCAGCAGTATCAGATCGTTTCCAAGTAACTTCCAGAAAAAAGATGAAGACCTTTTATAGGGATATAAATATATCTACCTTCTAATTACATCGGGACCACGTGACTCAGGGAAATAAAATGTGAGTGTAAGTGATGAGTGTCTTCAAAAATCCTGTCTTCTGGAGGCGGGGCGCGCCTCCGGGCTGCAGGTAACTGACGCCAGTCCCTCACGGCGACTGCAGCGCGCAGAACCTGGGCGCCGAGAGAGGCCTGGCCCCGCGTGGGGTCGAGCCGGCGCGGCTGCCGCCGGGGAGCCTGAAGCGCGGGGCCACACACGCAGGGCCCAACTCGTTAGGCCGTGAGCGGCCGCGGCCTTGGCGGCGAGGCCTCCCAGGTGCCGGCTGGGGCCCTAAGGAGCGGAGCGCAGGCTGGGCCCAGGCCGCGGGCGGGCTAAGAGGCGGAGGGGCTGGGGCGCCTCCGGTGGCTCAGTGGGTTAAGCGTCCGACTTCCGGCTCAGGTCATGATCTCCCGGTTTGTGAGTTTGAGCCCTGCGTGGGGCTGTGTGCTGACAGCTCGGAGCCTGGAGCCTGCTTCGGATTCTGTGCCTCCGTCTCTCTCTGCCCCTCCCCCACCTGTGCTCTGTCTCTATCAAGAATAAAATAAAATGTAAAAAATATATATATTTAAAAATATATTAAAAAAAAAAAAAGAGGCCTACGGTCCTGCTCGCGCGTGGAGGAGAAGGAGGCAGCCGCGGCGGCGGCTGTTTTCCTAGAGAAAGAGAGCTTCGCTCTGTCCTTCTCTTCTGCCTCTGATGCAGAATTTGATGCTCTGGTTGGATATTTAGAGGACATTATCATGGATGACGAGTTCCGGTTATTACAGAGGAATTTCATGGACAAGTACTACCAGGAGTTTGAAGACACAGAAGAGAATAAACTCACCTACACACCTATTTTTAACGAATATATTTCTTTGGTAGAAAAATATATTGAAGAACAGCTGCTGGAGCGGATTCCTGGATTTAACATGGCACCTTTCACCACAACTTTGCAGCACCATAACGATGAAGTGGCTGGTGACATTTGACATGCTGCTCACGTTCACAGACTTTCTGGCTTTTAAGGAAATGTTTCTGGACTACAGAGCAGAAAAAGAAGGCCGGGGACTGGATTTAAGCAGTGGTTTGGTGGTGACTTCATTATGCAAATCATCCCCTGTGCCAGCTGCCCAGAATGATCTGCGGCACTAGGTCCTACCACCAGGCAACGATATCTTTCTGGACGTCACCAGCCCCATAGACTGGAAGAGGCTTTGGCTATGCGACAGAATACATCTTGGAAAGACTGGCTCTGTTCCACAACTCTTCACGGACGTTAAGTATTGGTGGGTCAGAAGACAGTCTTCTGACCCTCCTAGGCCCCTGAAGCACCTTGTGTTCAGTAATCCTAGCACTCCTCCCCAAGTAGGCCCCTCTCTCTGGCCTGAGTCAGGCTCCTCTGGAGCAAGCCTGAGGCCAGCATTCCCCCAGGGACCCCTTCCCCAGCATAAATGTTGGTAGGTCAGCAGCATTTGGAAGAACCCACCAGCTCCAGCCCTCTTTGGCTCCACATGTCCATCAGGCTTTTTGTGTGCTCACAGCTTCCTGTATGCATCAGTTTCGGTCCTGCAGCCTCAGAGGGGTTTTTACCTGTGTGGGAACATTTCTCTAGGGTGTTCCTTGAGCTGGCTGCCCTCTGCAGCAGCTCCCATCCCAGCTAGTCCTGGCCATAGGAATAACTGAGAGATGCCCCTCACCTGAAGCTACATGTGAAAATCACTTCCTTGTCTTACACTCGGCAGTCCCTGCATCACTCTGTCTTCTGCTGGTCCTGAGGTAGTCTGTTTCCAGAATGCTTTTAAGCATTTTTAGAAAACTATTTTTATAGATGAATACTCTGGCTAACCTAGTGGCTATAATCTTGGAGCTTCCATGATTACCTACTTAAAGATCAAAGTATTATATACTGTGTACTTTTTAGCTATTATCGCTATCAAAGCAAAGATGCTTTCTACGTTGGCGTACCTAGTTTACTGGCCCCAATGAGTGTGTGTTTATGCTGGAAGTAGGCTAAAAGGTCTCCCTTTCTTACAACATGTTAAGTGTGCGTACAGGTTTGCTAAAACGCTTCCTGTTTGTTAGGTTTTCTGTTGGAGTAGGGACTCTGCAGTTCCTTCCTCCTGTCAAAATCTCCCTACCAAGGCAGTGTTCCGCTGGGCTGGCTCAGCATGAGGAGGAGAGAGCAAACAGCTTTAATAGTCATATGTATGCTTTGATTTAGCACAATGTTTCATAGAAATTACCAGAAAACATGATGTCACATCTCTAGAAAGAAAAGACATAGGATTTCAATTCTCAATGTGTACCTTCCATATTTTTTTAAGTAAAAATAAGACTATACTTACAAAAAAAAAATCCTGTCTTCTGGAAAACAGTGTGGAGGTTACTCAAAAAATTAAAAATAGAACTATCCTATGACCCAGCAATAGCACTGCTAGGAATTTACCCAAGGGATACAGGAGTGCTGATGCATAGGGGCACTTGTACCCCAATGTTTATGGCAGCACTTTCAACAATAGTCAAATTATGGAAAGGACCTGAATGTCCATCGACTGACGAATGGATAAAGAAGATGTGGTTTATCTATGCAATGGAATACTACTTGGCAATAAGAAAGAATGAAATCTGGCCATTTGCAGCAACGTGGATAGAACTAGAAGGTATTATGCTAAGTGAAATAAGTCATACAGAGAAAGAAAGTACCATATGTTTTCACTCTTATGTGGATCTTCAGAAACTTAACAGAAGACCATGGGGGACGGGAGGGGGAGGAAGTTACAGAGAAGGAGGGAGGCAAACCATAAGAGACTGAGAACAAACTGAGGGTTGATGGGGGATGGGGGAGAGGGGAGGGTGGGTGATGGGCATTGAGGAGGGCACCTGTTGGGATGAGCACTGTGTGTTGAGAAACCAATTTCTCAAAAATTATATTAAAAAAATAAAATAAAACTCCTGTCTTTCCCCCTACTTCTGGCACTTCTCCTGGGCCTCAGCAACCCTGCAGGTCACGTTTTGAGAGGTCTGGATCACCTGGTTATTGGAAAGAATAGGACACTGATTTCCAAAGTCATATTTTATATGAATAAAAAATGTAGTATTTGGGTCTAAATTACTGAGTTGGGATTGTTACTGCAGCTAGCCCTAACCTCCCTTGAACAATACAGGTACAGCACACATAAAATCCGAAAAGTAAGGTAAGCATTATTGTGAAAAAGTGTTTAAACTTGATACCTGGAAAATAAATACCACAATTAGGTAAAATACCAGTATTCCCATTATACCCCACGTACGCCTATAAGAAGTGCAAACCAATTTTGCTTGTGTGACACTTTACACTGATAGCCATGTTTATAAACGTGAGCCAGCAGATGATTTTCTGAGTTCGGTTTAGCAAGTAAAAAACCCTTAAAGTTTTTGTGTAAATCACGGCGTGGTTGGTGGGAGGGGTACGTGAAGGAGAAAACGCTCAAACCAGCAAGCAAGCCAAAGTAGCATTTCTTATGTTAGCGGAATCACACAGTAAGTCCAGATGCCCTCCATCCCCACCCAGTTAGGATCTATTTCTCTTGTGCTGAGAACTTGTAAGATCTACTCTTCACATAGGTGGGAAGAGGGCAGTGGAGCAGGAAGGCCCTGGGCTGGCCTCACCCACGAACACAACTACGTAACTCAATCGTTCTGAACACCCCAAAACGAACCTGAAGACTGTCAGGACAAGCTCCACAACCTAAGGTAGAGAAGAGGCCACAGCCAAGAAGGTAGGAATGCCCAGATGCAGTTTGGGAGAGAAACGGACCTTGGCCGCTGGGATGGGGAGGGAGCCGAGGTCGAGGTCAAGGAGAAGGGCAAGGGAGGGGGTGGGGAATGATGAATCTCCCTAGCAACCATCCAGCAGGGCTGGAGGGGCTGGATCTCCTGACTTCTGGCAACAGCGGGAATTCAAGCCTGGAATGTTAAAGGAGGAGGCTGGGATCAGCCTGAGGGCACTGCCTTGCTCTTGGAGACACAGAGGGACAAACAGCCCAAGGACAGCGAGGAGGAAGCAATCTGAGAAGCTCCTGGAGTGCAGAGTGGGGAGGTTATTTGCTCATCTCTGTGCACATCCCAGAGAGGCAGCATTCTCAGAAAGACCCCACTAGGAACAGGACGTGGCCGGAGCCATTTCCCTCCTGTGGCCACGAGCAGCCAACACTCACCACCTAACTGGCTTCTGACAGGTGTGAGGTGATATTTCACTGTAATTTTGACTGATGAATGGATAAAGATGTGGAATATATATATATACAATATATTACTTATTCATCAAAAGGGATGAAATGTTGCCATTTACAATTGACATGGATGGAGGTAGAGAGTATTATGCTAAGCGAAACAAGTCAGGGAAAGATGAATACCGCATGATTTCACTCATATGTGGAGTTTAAGAAACAAAACAGATGATCATAGAAAAACAGAAAGAGACAAACCGGGAAACAGACTCTTAACTGTAGAGAACAAACCAACCAATGGTTAACAGAGGGGAGACTGTGGGGGATGGGTGAATGGGGATCAAGGAGGGTGAAAAAGGCGGCCTACCCCAGCTGACTCCATCTTGTTCTGTGTCCTTCACCTTGACCACGCCTCCTCCCCTTGAGTAACCTGCCCCCCCCTCACCTGCCTAACAGGACTCGGACCCTTCCCCAGCCAATCGGCTGAGGCCACAGCCATTACCTCACCAACTGCCCCTAGGCCCCAATAAAACCTTTGTCCTTTTGAAACTGGCTCTCTCTCCCCAGTATCTCACAGCTGCGTCAGTGCAGGTAGGGGACTGAACTCGAGCTAGCTCGAATAAAGGCTCTTTTGCTTTTACATCGGACTCGGCTCCCTGGCGGTCTTTGGGGATCACGAATTCTGGGCATAACTGAGGGCACTTGTGATGAGCACTGGGTATTGTGTGTAAATACTGAATCAATAAATTGCACACCTGAAATTAATATTACACTGTACTTTAACTAACTGGAGTTAAATTTTTTTTTAATGTTTATTTATTTTTGAGAGAGAGATGGAGCATGAGCCAGGGAGGGAGAGAAAGAGGAAGACACAGAATCTGAAGCAGGCTCCAGGCTCTGAGCTGCCAGCACAGAGCCCAACGTGGGGCTTGAACCCACAAACTGCAAGATCCTGACCTGAGACAAAGTCGGACGCTTAACCAACTGAGCCACCCAGGTGCCCCTTAACTAACTGGAGTTTAAATAAAAACTTTTTAAAAATGGCCAGAATGAAATCCTGTCATTTGCAACTACATGGATGGAACTGGAGGGTATTATACTAAGTGAAATTAGTCAGAGAAAGACAAAAATCATATGACTTCACTCACATTAGGACTTTAAGAGACAAAATAGATGAACATAAGGAAAGGGAAACAAAAATGATATGAAAACAGGGAGGGGGACAAAACAAAAGAGACTCATAAATATGGAGAACAAACTTAGGGTTGCTGGAGGGTTTGTGGGAGGGGGGATGGGCTAAATGGGTAAGGGGTATTAAGGAATCTACTGAAATCATTGCTTCACTATATATGAATTTGGATGTAAATTTTAAAAAATAAAAAAATAAAGTTAAATAAAAAAATGGTCAGAAGACATGAATAGACATTTTTCCAAAGAAATCCAGATGGCTAACAGACACATGAAAAGATGCTCAACACCACTCCTCATCAGGGAAATACAAATCAAAACCATGATGAGATACCACCTCACACCAGTCAGAATGGCTAACATTGACAATTCAGGCAACAACAGGTGTTGGTAAGGATGTGGAGAAAGGGGAACCTTCTTGCACTGTTGGCGGGAATGCAAACTGGTGCAGTCACTCTAGAAAATAGAGTATGGAGGTACCTCAAAAATTTTAAATTTAAAATTTAAATTTTTTAATTTAAGTGATTTGATATATGCATATATTGTGAAACGATCAGACAATAACTCTAGATACCGTCCACCCACACGCACAGTTAGGATCTATTTTTCCAACTACCCTATGACCCAGCAATTGCACTACTAGGTATTTACCCAAAGAATACAAAAACACTAATTCAAAGTGATACATGCACACTGATGTTTATAGCAGCATTATCAACAATAGCCAAATTATGAAAACAGTCCAGTGTTGATCAACTGATGAATGGATAAAGAATATGTGGTAT